CTGTACTACACTGGTGGATTTCAAAATCATGCCAGAACAAGATTAAATGCAGTTTGAAAGTAAAATTCACCTATTAAAAGAGACAGTAGACATTTAGCCTTATTCCCTGTCAAATTTAACTTTTGTTTTCATTTCCTTCCTCAGTTATTCGTCCACCCAAAAGACTATAAAAGCAGCGTGCAAAGATGACACAACAGATGACCCATCTTACACAGTCAAAGAAAGTAGAAGAGAGGAGAGAATAATAAAAAAACATGTTGGAATGATAGAATCTGACAGGAAGGAATACAGAAAGTATGTCCTGAATGGTTACAAAGCATCGGCTGAAGAAGAAGGAACGTAGCGCCAACACCAGCCACGCTGAAGCTGCAACACTAGCCAGAGAAGGATACAAGAACAAGCAGGCTTTTTGTCAAAGTACTCAAAGGCTGTGAATAAAACACCCTTTTCTTTCCTTGGATCACCATCAAAGAAAATGTCAACTTTTAGTGGTGTTGTTACATCAGTGCAGATATGAAGAAGGCATTCATGATGGAAATGTAGATCTGAAGCTCATGCCAAATACTTCTCACAAAATGAGATTGACACTATGAGGACCCCTGGCAAAATATAGAGATATATATAGAAGTTTCTAGAGTCAAGAAAGTGAACTGAATGATTTGGGAACCTTGCAGAAAAGTTACCATGCATTCAAACAACAAATAAGATGTCCAGTACTATGTTTACTCCTTAGAGGGGTTTAAGAATGCAAGTGATCCATCTCAAAGTGATGACTGTGTGGTCAGTATTGGGGATTGGGTGCTTGTGAGATGTGATGAGAAAAAATACCATGGAGAAGTGACAGGAAAGGGGACAAGAGGGTTATGGTGACTGTCATGTCACATTTTACAGGAAAATGGAAGTGGCTTGGAATGAGAGATGAAATTTACTGAACTATAGAATCATAAAATGTCATTATAAAGTAGTTCACTACCCCAAAACCCATTTTGTCCCCTGGTCAATAAAAATTTCAGCTTCAAACATCAATTTGTTCCATTGTGATATGTTTCAGTATGGTAATTTGCTTTTCTTTGCCTATTTCTATCATTACTTTGAAGATTTGCACGTTTTGTATGAATGTAACACACGTAACTTTTGATGTAACACACGTAACGTTACATGTGTTACACGACTTCCACCCCATTCTACGAGATTCAGGGACTTACTTCAAAAGAACTGATATTATTGAGTTATTTCTTACCGTCAACTTCACACGTTTATGGAAGCATTTGATTATAGCTCTTTTTTTTTAATGTGTGGGAAAACTTCTGTACGTTTTGTGTTTCGTGTGTTACATTGTCACGAGAGGTGGACATTCTCTCTAATGTGGTCATAACATGCATTTAACCAGGAATTGTTTTTGCATTCCAGTAAAGTACATGCTAGGACAGTACACAAACATAAAGATAACAGGATTACTTTATTCTATCATTGAAACAAAACATTCTTTACTAAATGGTATTTTTGTCTTTGCCATGACATTTTTCTCTCACTTTTCACCACGCTTTTTTTTATATGAAAGGGACGGTTTTTACCATTTTTGAGTTCAGAACTACACCAATAAACCTTTCTGCTGAATATATTTCCCATGGTACTGAGTTGATTTCATCAATTTCATCTTTTTGCATTTTGGTGGACCGCTCGAGGAATGGGCCTCTAGATCTATTACTACTGTTAGTGTTAGCCCATAAGCGTGCAATTTTGTCTGTGGGCAGTGGAGAGAGAGAAAGAGAGAGAGAGGAGTAGCGCGAGAACTTCCGGGCAAAACAAAATGGCGACCTGCGTAGTTCGGCTCGATTTGGAAAGTTAAATAGCCATAGCATCTTTGTAGACAACCAAATTAATTTACTTTTGTTTTTTAACATCATTTTTAAACTTTGTTTTGGTCAATTTGATCCTCCACACCGATAGACAGTATTCAGAAAGAGACAGAGAGAGAGAGAGAATAGATCTTGCGAGAACTTCCGGGCAAAACAAAATGGCGACCCGCGTAGTTCAGCTTGATTCGAAAAGTGAAATAGCCAAAGCATCTTTGAAGACAATCAAATTAGCTTACTTTTGTGCTATAACGTAATTTTTTCTTGGCTTTTATCAATTTGATCATCCACACCGATAGACAGTATTCCAAAATGAGGAAAAACAGGTCTTGTTTCACACCGGGTGAGAATAGCCTACGCTGGCAAGTCTCACCCGGGGTGAGAGGTAGAGTCTAACCACGTCACTGCGCATCTGTTTGGGTGTGCAACCCCTGGTCTCCTGCTTTGTTTTGGATAAGAACAGCGAAAACGAGGTCACTTTCTGTGAGCATGCGAAGAATGCAGCTTATTTCACTTTCGTTTTGGAGGTTCCTGTCAACACACGTGATTCTACGGTGTCGGAAAGTTTTGCCCATTCATATTAATGGTTTTTGTAACCGGTATCGGTCAATTTACTAAGCGCTTGAGTAGTCGATTATTTAGCACATCTAGTTAATCTAGCTCTAATGTATCGTAGAATGTTAGAATCGATAAATACTATCACAGGCTGCTTCTTAATGCCCAGGAACATGCCAGATAGGGTTGCGCACTGAAGCAGACCAAATTTGTGCAGTCCGTTTCAGTGCGCAATATCGGCTTTTTTGCTATTTGGCATTGACAGATAGTGTGGCTTCTAGGCCCTTTGGTTGTTTTACTTATTAAGTTATTTCTTTATGACCTGCATTGTGCACTGAAACAGACTGTTTTCCTTCCATTTGGATGCATTGTATTGCCATTGGAAGATGATCAGTTAATGTATTCATGTCAAAATTAATTAATATGGAAATTTAACCCCCAAAATGTTCAATTTCTTCTTTTCATGTCTTTTTCTTCTTCTTTTTTGTCCTTTTCCTTTAAGAATACTAGTCTAGGTATAGTCTAATTCTTGTTTTCTTCTTTCACCTCCTTGTGTCCACAGCACCTTTCTTTTTCAATTTTTTCTTTTCACGTCTTTTTCTTCTTCTTTTTTGTCCTTTTCCTTCAAAAATACTAGTCTAGGTGGTAAAGTCTTATTTAATTCTTTTTTTCTTCTTTCGCTTCTTTCCCCTCCTTGTGTCCACAGCACCTTTCTTTTTATCCATTATCAAAACACATACACACGGTGTAAGGAAATCTCCTGTTAGGGGGCGCACAGCTCCCAAAAAGAACACGCCTCATTGACCTTGGCCTTCCCTTTTATGGTCAGTACAGGAACTTTTTGCAAGGAAAAGAAGACAAGGCCAGGATAGAGAAAGATGAAAAGTGTCAGAAAAGAGCTAGATCTAGATCTGTAAACATGGTACTATTGCGCACCCAACCAGACGATATGTTGCACCAAACAGACACCTTGCGCACCAAACCAGACACACGTTACCAAACAAACACCACCACAACATATAGAAATTTTAAACTGCTGTTACAGTAATGCGCTACACCGTATAGAGAGGAAGTTTTTCTAACTTCTGGTGAAAAAATCATGAAGATCGACCTGTAACTTCCAGAGATATCCACAAAAGATCGCTTACTGTATATCGCACCACAGGATTAACTCTAGATCATATTTTTATTCTCACCCCGGGTGAGAATGAAAGTGGCTATTCTCACCCGCCCGGAAGTTCTCGCAAGATCAACTCCTCCCCTCTTCTCTCTCTCTCTGTCTCTTTCTGAATACTGTCTATCGGTGTGGACAATCAAATTGACCAAAACAAAGTTAAAAAATGATGTTAAAACACAAAAGTAAATTAATTTGGTTGTCTACAAAGATGCTACGGCTGTTTAACTTTTCGAATCGAGCCGAACTACGTGGGTCGCCATTTTGTTTTGCCCTGAAATTCTCGCGCTACTCCTCTCTCTCTTTCTCTCCACTGCCCACAGACAAAATTGTACGCTTTTAGTAGGCTACAGTTGTAATGGAACGTTTGTTCACGGCACAGAATTCTACAATTTTTCTGTTATCACAGTGTAGAATTCTGTGGTTTAGGGTGAACGCAAAATTTGGTGAACGCGCACCGGGTGAGAATAGCCACAAGACTCGCCTGCACTATTCTCACTCCGGGTGAGAATAGAGGTGGCCGGTGAGAATAGCCACTTCCCATTACAAAACATCAATCATCATCATACTCATACATCGTCATCATCATAAACAATATCGGCTTGCACAAACAAAGTATTGTATGTGCAAGCCAATTAAACATGTCAATGTGCTGAATAGCCAACAGTTGAAAAATTCATTTCACCGGCTACCGACGCATCATGTAGATCAAGAGAGACACTAGAGTAGATCTATTCTATAATCTCTAGACTCTAGAAGGTCAGGTCAGGTTTGCGACCTGAAAGTGGCTATTCTCACCCGCCCGGAAGTTCTCGCAAGATCTACTCCTCCCCTCTTCTCTCTCTCTCTGTCTCTTTCTGAATACTGTCTATCGGTGTGGACGATCAAATTGACCAAAACAAAGTTAAAAAATGATGTTAAAACACAAAAGTAAATTAATTTGGTTGTCTACAAAGATGCTACGGCTATTTAACTTTTCGAATCGAGCCGAACTACGCGGGTCGCCATTTTGTTTTGTTCTCTCTCTCTCTCTCCCCTGCCCACAGACAAAATTGTACGCTTTTAGTAGGTTACAAGTACAGTTGTAATGGAACGTTTGTTCACAGCACAGAATTCTACAATTTTTCTCTTATCACAGTGTAGAATTCTGTGGTTTAGGGTGAACGCAAAATTTGTTGACACGCGCACCGGGTGAGAATAGCCACAAGACCCGCCTGCACTATTCTCACCCCGGGTGAGAATGCCTTTGCTGAGTCTGAGCTGGCAGTCTTGGTTGGTTAGGACAGGTCTACTCTGACTCCTGGGCCTGGCTCTGGGATTGGGGAACTGGGATAAAATTGACCTAGATCTAGATTTCTAGATCTGGATTAACCCAATCTTTTAAAGCGAAATAACTGGATCAATAAGGTGCTTACCTAACTGGAAACTGGGGTTTGAATCTAAGAAAGGAATAGAAGGCAAAAATCTATTTAAAAAAGAAGTACAGAATTGAATGCTTCTCCGTGCTGCTCAACGGTGAGATCGTCGTGAATTGTGACGCCATTACCGGAAGCGGAAGTGGGATATTGTCCTATCCAATAATATCCAAATAAACAATGGTCCAATAATGATAGATCTGCTCGTTCTTGCTCCTCTTCCTCCTCCTTCTCCTCCTCATCCTCTTCCATCATCATCATAATAATCATCATCATCATTATTGTTATCATCATCGTCATCATATTCGTCTTCATACTTCAATCTGTGAGTGGTTGGCGGGTCCTCTGGTGTGGTTTGCTTCTTCTTTCCTATCAAACATCTATCGTCCTTATCTCACCTCTTTTTTCATGCTTGTTACTCTCATGTATCAGTATCACCTCTGATCTTCTGGTGCTCATAATATGACCTTATGCAGTTGCGAGAACCGTAAAACATCTACTAAAACTAAACTAATATGTACTTCAATCTGTTGTTATTGGGTTTTTATAAATTAGTTGTTGTTTTTTGTTGTTTTTGTTGTTGTTGTTGTTGTGTGTGTGTGGTAGCCTATCCGTTCGAAATGTTTGGAGCCCCGAAGAGCGTGCTCTTCGCCAGGGCCACCGCCTCCCTTGGCCCTTGAGTAGGCTAGCGGGTGAGGCAGTCCAACCTCCCTGAATCCCCCCCGAAGAGATGCCGGGCCTCCGTGGCGGGGC